ATATCACTATGTTTAACTATTGATCAGAATGTTACATAAACATTTTGGGCTCAATCATAACTATAATGAGCAGAGCATCGATACTACATTATCACAAACAAGTAAATCACAAGCTCATGACATGTCCAATAAGTATAATGAAATGATAAATAACCAAATAATTATATAGTTATTCTTCCCTAGCATACAGCTCAAGGATTTCAATCTAGTTCCAATAATAACAATGCAGTAGGTCGCAGTATATATATACTGCAACCTACTTGCGTTAGACTGTTACATACTTATGACTAGACTGTTACATACTTATGACTAAACTGTTACCTACTCATTTATGGGTACCCGTTTTGGCGTCTAGTTGGCTTGATATTTGTTTCCTTTTGATGAGGTTTTTGGCTTTTTTTGGTCCTTTGATTGCTTTCGTCACCCGAGGCTGAGGCACGAAGTTCCGATTGTGAGGGCTATGCCCGAACTGGATGCAAAGCATCCTGGCCAATTTCTGTCGTCAGGCCACATTCCCATTTTATCATAACACTGGTAAAGTTTGTGGTAAACCTTGTATGCGACCTGAAGGTTGTAATACTCATTGGAAAGCAAAAAAGACGAGTTCCATGCACTGATTGTGGCAAGCCTACTAGCTCAACTTCTGGCCACATGTCGAAAAAATCAGTCTCTGCGATTTCAGTCTCCGCCATGTAACATTTGTGGCCATCGTCCACATGTGTGGACGGTCATCTATAAGTATCACTCCAGGAAAATGCTTTAGAGATGGTTTCTGATATGCGAAAAAGTTATTGACTGGAATTTTTCGGTTAGATTTAGGTGTATATCAGGAACTTGATCTGAGCCGTTTTATCCAAGGACATTTTTTCAGGAAAATGCTTATTTTTGCTTTTATGATGAGGGATGAGGCACGTAGTGCCGAATTGGCAATCTGTATTTTGGCTTTGCATGTCACATTTGAGTTCGAGGATGAGGCACGAAGTGCCGAAATAGTGTCCATGATCTGGCTTTGCATGTCACATTCAAATTCGAGGATGAGGCACGAAGTGCCGAAATAGTATTCATGATCTGGCTTTGCATGATGCATTCGATTACTGATCGAGGGTGAGGCACAAAGTGCCGAATTGTTATCTCACTTGGTAGTACGCCAAAGCATAATTTCTATAATATATATTTCTATAATTATACCTTGACGTACTACCGCGAGTACGCTATGTTTTACGTCTCTGGAAGCCTTTCTCGTGTAGTTGGTGCTTTGATATGGGTTCTAAATTAGATCTTGCAGATTATAAAATCAATATAATTGAGCATGGAGGAGAAGAAGTAAAATTAATTACCTTGATAAATCAAGCGGTTACTGAGAATTTAATACATTATGGCAAAGTCTATTTTCTCCCATTCCCTCCAAATGTAATCCTGCCAAAAACGAATTTCTTTAATCTTTTCTTAGGATTTAAAGCTCAACCAGCAACTGAAATTAATTTCGATCTAATTAATCCAATAATTTGGCACATAGAAAATATTTGGTGTAATGGAGATAAAATTCTTTCAGAGTACATTTTCAAATGGTTTGCATTTCTAGTTCAAAAATCCCTGGAACTATTCTTGTTTTACAATCTCCTCCACGATGTGGAAAGAATATTATTACTGATTTTATTCGAAAATATGTATTTGGTCAAGAACTTGTATATTCAACGTCTGATCTTGGAAAAATTCTTGGGTGATTTAATAGTCCTATTCAAGGACGAAAACTTATTATTATGAATGAAATGGGAATGGCCAGTGGAGAGTGGCATAAGGCAAATGATCACTTAAAATCTCTTATTACAGAAGAATATATTTTGATTGAACATAAAGGGTTAGAGTCTAAAGAATATAAGCATTTTCCTGGATTCATGGTTTTAAGTAATCATGATACTCCACTTTGGGTTGAAATTGGAGATGGGCGTATCATTGCTTTAGATGTATCCCCTCAATGTAAAGGCAATAATGAATATTTTAAACAACTTTCTAAAATACTTAGACATACTGACACACCAGGCTCTTTTATGTTGTATTTACTCAGTCTTGATCTTTCGGATGATTGGAATCCTCAGCACAATATTCCTAAGACTAAAATGAAGATGGAAATGATGCAAGACCAATTACCCAACCCTACTCAATTTATAATTGATCATATTTCACCATGGTCTGAGGATCGAGTTGAGATACAAAGTCGTATGATATTATATCAAGAGTATCAGGCATGGTGTGAAGCTAATGGTGAGAAACCATTTAGTAATAATGTATTAGGTAAAAAATTTACAAAGATTAACATCGAAAACAAACAAGTACGAATAAATGGAATAATAGTACGTCAATACATCCTAGATCGTTCCAAAATAGTAGCTAAGTTATGTGAATCTATTGGTGAGATTGAAGAATTTTCCAATATTTCACAGGATAGCTTGCCTACCAAAAGTTCTATGGAAGAAATCCCAGTATTTAACGTTCCTGAAATGAAGAAAGAAGAAAACAAACCGGAAAAAGCAATACCGACTCAACCAGAAGATTTAGTCGCTTCAACGCCTAGAAATTCCAAGATTATTACTCCCAAGGTTATAAATTCTTCTGAGATTATTGAAATCCCTTCCCCTGTTAGCGATAAATTGGAAATATCCCACTTCACCAGAAAATAACGGAGCTAACATGACTAAATTACCTGAAAGCGATAAATCCGAATCTAATAATGAAGAAGATATGTCAAAACCAATCCCATCATCTTCTGAATACTTGACCCAGGAACAGCGAGAAAAACATCTCCGAAAATGGGCGATCAATCATAATGAAGATCCAGATCATTTTTTGAGAGAATGGTTTCTGAACTAGAGGTTGGAACCGGTTTGGGTACAATCGAATTAAAACCGGTTGCAACTGGTTGCAACGTAAAACCGGTTCCTATT